GTTCAAGCTGGCAGTTCCTCATCGCTATTTCTAGGAAAGCAATGGTAAAACCTCCTTCCCTGGTGTAATTACGATGCTCTGGCTGTAGGTCGGGGGGATCAGCGAGATTAGCCAGATCAACATCAAGCTGCAGGGCAATTGCAAGGAAATCTGATGGTGTATACAACGGCCGATTGAGAACGCGAAGGCAGCTATTAGTTGCAGTCAGACCACAGAGATTGTCGGGGATCTCAGGCTGATTTTGTTGGTCAGTCATTTGTAGATCACCCGTGGGGTCTGCGCAGGGTGGTGCATATATATCGTCACAAACAGAACTGCCCGGTATATATATATACTATGGGGTTGGATCTACACGCTGCTGGGCAGCGCTGTTTCCGGTAGAGGAGAGAGGCAGAGAAGAGGAGTAGGAGGCTGAGGGAAGAGGCCATAGTATGGGGCACTCACCTGCAGACTGACCTGGCGCAATAGCTCCTGTTCGTCTTCGGGCGTCTTCCACCTGCATCACAGCTCCAAGGTGACAGTCCACCTTTTTTTTTGTTTTTTCTTTTTTTGTGAAAAGGCCCTTGTGCAAGCCCTCTATCCCAGTGGTTGTAAGAGAACCACCGGGATTGAGGCTTTGTCAGCGGGCCGCTCCATCTATTGGTGGGGCGCATTACCTGCTCCACCTTCGAGAGACTTCCAGAGAATTCTTCTCCTTCGTCTCCCTCCGGCTCCATCACTTCTCTTCCGCCTCGGAGTCCCTCCCTCTTCTTCTTCTTCTTCTTCTTCTTCTTCTTCTTCTTCTTCTTCTTCTTCTTCTTCTTCTTCTTCTTCGTCTAATGAACCATCAGGAGGTAAGGGTGAAGGCTAGCTAGTTACGGAGCCTATGCACAGTAGGGAAAGTAGGTAGAAAGGGAGCAAAGGGTAGATAGTCGGTCCAGCAGGATACGACAGGGCTGTACAATAGACAAACATGGGAGCAAGATACAATGGGAGTGGAAGCAAGGGGAGTGGTGCGGAATAAGGGAGAGGGAGGGGTTTAGCCCGAAGGGACTGGGTTGTACATTGGTTAGAGTAGGGCAACCCGGTCATGAGCGATGTCAACCGGGCTGTATAGTATCACCCTCGGGAAGCTGGGCCTAGGTAGTAGGGTGAGATGGGGGCCGGTAGGGCCCAAAGTAGAGTCGCCGGGGCCAGTAGTGTCGGAACCGGTTAGATAATGTGGATGTTTCAGACTAGCAGGTACCAATCACGAGAAAGAGGCCTGGTGCAGAGGCGGGTGAAGCCGGATCTACCGGATTCGCAACGTAGGCCCCTACAGCTGGCCGGTACACGTGCAGTGTCGAACAACCTGGCGCAACGGGAAGCGCACACGTGAGGTCGGCGGGAAAATGGGGTGAACGTGCGTGCTTGCCAGGTCAGTTGCAAACGAGCCGCGTCGAACTCCGCCCAGTCAGTTGCAGATGTGGAGTGAGTGTCAGTATATCTTTAGAGGGCAAGGCCAGAATGGCCCTCTTTGCTCTGGGTTGGCTTGTCTTGGTGGATGCGGGAGTGTGGTTGCCCCTTGACAAGTCCTGGTGCGCAGCCAGGCGAAACGCGTCGGGGAATGTGCGCGTGGAGCAGTTGGTCCGTGCAGGAGCTTCATTGAACTCAGTCGAGACATGGAAACATAGCGATTGGCCTCGCTATTTCACTTCTTGAATGCGTAACAACCATGCGAGTGGTCGTACTCGTCCTGGTGGTTACGTCTACTTCAGGTGTGCAAGTCGAGGTTGAGTAGTGGTAACACTGTCAAAGGTGAGCAGGAGGTGAGAGCATAGAGAGTACGGGCAAGAGAAAGGAAGTAGGAGGAAGAGCGAGAGGGAGGAAGGCGAGAGTTTCAGGGAGCGTGAGGAGGAGGCGCACGTGGCGAGAGGTGAAGGACACCCGAGAGTGGAACGAACGTGTGATCTGTGGAGCGCGCAGAACGAGTCGGCTGCATATAGCGGCTGCTGTGGTTCAGCGAGCGAAGACAACGTACGTGTCTAAGCTGCTGGTTTCTCGGGTAGTGGTGCTTGTGATAAGTGAGAGGTCCTGACGCGTGGGTACGTGGTAAGGAACTCTAGCTTGAGTTAAGCAGCAGCTGAGAGGTGCGGTCAGGTGAGTGCTCCCGGCGTGAGCAAGGTGTGGGCTTACCCGGGTGTCAGGTAGTTAAGAAGGTCAGTGGCAGGTCAGTGTTCTGTGATGGAGGTAGTCGGGTGGCTGTGTGCGTGAGTATATGAGATTGTGATAAGAGGGTGACAGTCGCGATAGCTTCCATTGTGGGTGGCAAGGGTAGTTAGGGAGCCTTGAGTACCTTGGTGAAGTAACTAGCCCGTGCTCCCGCCGTGTGGAAGCGGGCGAAATGACCAAACGGAATATTGTGTGACAGGGTGAAGGATCGGGGTGATGTGTGTTGTGCGAAGGAGACGGTTGCAAGTCTACGAAGGTACGGCCGAGTGGGAAGGAGCAGGGGGATAGGGACAAACCGTGAGCTCGAACAGCTGAGTGGTGTTCTAATTGGGATGGTGTAAGGTAACTTCGTGAGACTGTCGTTGGTACCTGAGCGCAGCGGCCAATGTGAGATGTAGTGATGAGCAGCTCGACATTTTTTCCCCTTTGCTCGCGTTTTTTCTCCCTCGCGTTTCTCTAACCGTGAGCTCGAACAACGGAGTGGTGTTCTGATTGGGATGGTGTAAGGTAACTTCGTGAGACTGTCATTGGTACCTGAGCGCAGCGGCCAATGTGAGATGTAGTGATGAGTAGCTCGGCATTTTCTCCCATTTGCTCGCGTTTTTTCTCCCTCGTGTCTCTCTCTCTCTCTCTCTCTCTCTCTCTCTCTCTCTCTCTCTCTCTCTCTCTCTCTCTCTCTC